TTTTAAACTTCTTGTAAGAAGTGGAGGATATACATTGTTAAAAAAAAGTTGGAATATGTCCAATTTTCAGCGTTTAAATCTGAATTTTCAAAATTTCAGAAGTATGTTTTTTTTCGCTGAGCTTCAACAACTATGAAAGAAGAATTGCATATTTTCTCCTTTAGAATGAAATTGCTGTTCACATAATTCGTTATTTTATTTAAGTCGTCGCATTTCTTTTAAAATTTTAAATTTTAGCTCGTTTTCGCGCAATTTTGCGTGCATATTTGCAGTTTTAAAGAATTTCCAAAAACAGATTTCCTCAATAACCGTACCAATTGTTTTTAAACAACGTTGTTGTAGGGGATTTGTGTGTAGTGCACTGCTACAGATGACATAACACCATTTTCTATTCTTTGTTTGTTCAAAAATTTTCCAAAAAAGTGCTAATTTTCTGTTACTACGTTCTAATCGCGTTCACACTGCGACAATGTTCCATAAGTATTATATTTATGAGACATATGCCTTTAAAAATGGCATATAAATTGTTCTGCGAAAACTTAAACTGCTTTTCAGTGAAACCAGCTCCAATTCCGCATTTCAAAACGCCCCGGACGTTCATTTTTTCTCAAAAACGACTCCAATTTTTATTTATAATAAATCTGCGAAATGTAGTGATAATTGACACTTCTGTAATATGTCGGTAAAGTTAATTTTGGAGTTATTATTTTTTCAAATTACACAAATGATAAATCTTGGCTTCTCACGCCGGTTATATGCACATTCCATCAATTTGTAAAACACTATTGTATTTGTGAGTTAAAGGTAGCTTCATTCGAAGTTTTTTCTAAAACGTTTAAAATTTCCCCGTAAGAAAGTGCTTCAATCGATTTACTGTAGGCACATAAGCAGCCAATTTTCTTACAAATACCGCCTCTATTTTTTCAAGGAAACACCGTCCATTTAGCGACAACGGTCTTTTATTGTTCCTTAACATTTTTAAAATTAACTATTTCTTTTCTGACTATAAAAAACGAAAATTTAAGGAAATCCCCCAAAATGACTTTGGAGGCGATAGGATGGCTAGGCAAAGAAATGTGGAACAGTTTAGTAGCTGTCGATGGCGACAGAAGGAAATAGCGAAAATTAATACACTGTTTGTCATTTCTGTGACACCCAATATTTTCATTGAATTCCAAGCCAGTAGAAATTAAACAATAAATAGATCTACAAGTTTTAATTGCCCAAAAAATATATTTGGTGCTGCATTCTGTTTCGAATACAAGAAGAAACCTATATTTGCAGCATCACAAGGAAATAATATCGATTCATAAACGATTTAGATTGTATTGTGTTGCCGATTTTCACTAATAGTAACTTCTGAATTCTAAATTAAGCTGTGACACAAGTTTTCTAACTTCAGAATTTCTGGTCCAATGACACTCAATCGCGTATCTTTTTTTGCCCAGTCTCCCTGACACTGTTCGGGAAGGTGCGTGCAGGTATCTATTTATGTTTTGGCCTTTTGGCCCCGTAAAATGTTAACTTAAACTATCTGCTACATTTTTCCTTGAGCTCGTGGAAATGAGTATTATTCACTTATACGATCGTTCTCCATGATCTTTGACTCGCAGTAAGTCTACTTGCAAACACGGTAGGGTGTGCATAAGCGCATTATCCCGTCTGGATATTTCGAGGTCCACTAAGGCTGAAGCAAGCGTTGCTGCCTCATGCCTGAAGAGTAGATGGGATTTATCTATATCTGTACCGTTACCAGAATGTTACTTTGCAGTCGGGTCACTATTTCACCTAGTAGTTGAAAGGACTTAGTAGAAAAAGGATAAGTATTCAAAAGTTATAACAGGTTTTCCTTTGCAAAATAGTGTTCTATATACATGGCCAGCGAGAATTTTTTGTATGATCCTTCAAGACCTCGTGATACCTGTATCATAATTCAACTTAAACGACGATTGTTCGTTAGAG